CTTGGCCGGAGAAGATTTCCGCATGTGGCCCCGCGATGCCATGTATGAATGATATCGAATGTTATACTGAAATTTATTTTAAATATTATTTTTATTTTATTTTAGACTTGAGAAGTATAAATACAGCTAACGATTTTCAATAGAGACTTTTTTTCCGTATAAAAAGTTGTGCAGCAAACTTGCAGTGAATAAATTCTATGTCTTGTTTTCACGTTATTAGTAATTTGTTAATTATATTAATTAAAAAAAATGATATAAAATTATATTCCTATTATTTACTCACGCTCGCTTCGCTCGGGTTCGTCCCTAGGTACGTTATAATTTTTTTGAGCGGAACCCTAATTCTTTTTCTAAAATAAAAGTAGCGTATGTTACTTCCTATAACATCAGCTATCGTCCAGTGAAAGTCCTGTCAAAAACAGTCCAGCCGTTTCAGAGATTATCCGGAACAAAGAGACAGACAAAAATTTAAAAAAATGTTTTTTCTTATAAGTACCGTATATAATTTCATATGCATTTAGTAAAACATTGTTATTTTGACATTACAAACAGACAGTTCAATTTTATTTATCTGTATAGATCAGTGATGCAAAAGATTTGATGTTTCTAACTTCTTTGACGCCTTATCACAAATACTATAATTATATTATCATAATAAAATAGCTGAAATTATAATAAATTATCTTTATTATGTATAATCATTCCAACGTTAAATACTCTACGATACTCCTACTATTATCCTCCAAAGTACTAATGACAAAAAGGGCCAGTGTATTTTTTTACGATGGCATTTAAACGGGGCCCTTTCTTATTCCGCCCTCGCTTCTTTTGTCAGGGACATATTCCTGACCAGTTCATTCAAAATAGAAGAAATTTGATTGGGTAGGTTAACGTACTGCGAATAAATTAAAAAAACGAGACGCAGGTTCAGAGTAAGAAGTCCTGATTTGAAAATTAGAATTTCATATCAACAATCTTTTTTTTTTAATTTAAAACTAATTAATAAATTAACATTTTAAATGTTTTCTTGAAAATACATTTAGTCCGTATATGAACTGTTACATAATATTAATATTTTATTTATACCACTTATTATGATCATCTGATCATCTCCAATATAATTCAATTTAAAATTATGCAAACCTTTTTAAACGACTACCAAAAAAGGAGGAGTTTCTATGTTTATGTACTAAAATCTTTAAAAAAAAACAATTTTATGAGTATAAAATATACTGTCACAAAAATATCGCATTCAAAGTTAAGCAAGCCTCTTGAAGTCACAAGTCTCAACAGAGCAAAGCATTCATCTCTAATGAGATAGATTGGGGCCAAACTGTATAATAGGTCCCTTAGAAGACATTCAGAAAATAAGAAAGGAAATACACATAGCCAAAACCCGCATTTTGTCTTTTGTTGCTGATTGTATCAAAGGAATCGTTATAGGTAGATATAATTGCAAACGAGTCACGTAAAAAGCCCACTGGGCTTGAACTTTGCAGACCGAGTCGATGACGACAGGTGTCGGCGAAGCGGAAAACTTGCCAAATTACACAAAATGACCCGTCGATTTGGATTGGAGCCAAACGAAATTCAAACATTAGAATACTATTTGTACAATATGCAGTTGCCTCGCGTCTGCGCACGCGCAATTAATAATATGAATTGTCGCTTATATCTACGCTTATTATCTCCACACTTTCTACTTTATCTCAAACAATTTAAGTAATTAGTGAGTACATGTGATGTTTAAGTCCAATAGATTTGTTTTTTAAAGTACTTCTACTTCTAGTTCTAGTTAATTTTGAACACAATCCAGTTGCGCTCATGACATACACGGAATATATGTCAGCCGAATGCGGCAATAAATTCATTGTGTAATGGGCAAGCCGCGTTTTAAATTGGGCCGTCCCTCCCAACAGCGCCCCGCGCATCGCCATTATCTAACCTCGCAAGTCGCTCTATTCAGTTCTGAAACGCATCTTAGAACGCACGTTATCATGATTTGAATGCCCTCTATTGGCAGAATTTGTATTTTTTTTTAATATTATATGACATTTTTAGCATGAATAATATAAAATCTTTGCCATAGCCAGGAGTAAGGGAAAAAATGTAGAAATTCATATTCAATAGGCATTTATTTTTTGATTTTTAAAGTAAATAATATTTTTTTTCTATTCTTATCAGTTGATTTATTAATTCAATAATGATAATAAATAACTAGAACGAAATATGATCATCTAATAAATAGGTAGAGTAAATAAATAATTTAACACATACATATTTATATCAGTAGCAATGTGTGCGTAACACACGTGTGGTGTATATTATATGTACCACGGAAATGTTCTGTGCAAGTTGAGGTCATCACAAACATAGTCAAATTATACTTTAGTAACGTATTTAAATGTTTACAAGGTCTTTTAATTGATTGTCACAGTTTTTATTATAATAAAATAACGTTTAATATAAATAAAAACATTAACAGGCTTTTATGGAAATTATACAACATAACATACGTTGAATATCATATATATTAAATTTTTTTTTATTATTAAAATATTTAGGTCGAATTTTGCATTAAAAAAAAAGAAAATCAGAAAAATAACTAAACCTCATAATAGGGCACAGAGTTCCCATACTATCTTATTAAAAAACCATTTTCGTTTATGAGAGACTGAAAAGAGTGCATAGAATTTTACATACATTTTTAGTATCTTTTATGCGCATGCGCAACTTTATTTAATGGAAATTAAGTTATCAAGGATCATTGTGCTTGTGTTGGTTCACTAACACAACCATGCAATGGCGCTCACGGACATATCACACATCTGAACAAAACGCAGCACTGACCATGAAAATGTTTACATAACCATGCGTACAATATGTCGAGGCCAATTGAATAGGTGTCCATTTGTAAATTAATTTCATATGCTAATAAGTATTCTTTAGATATATAAAATAGGTAATACTGATAGCAAATGGTTATTTTTTGTATTATCAATAAATATACCTCATATACCTCTTATTCTACCTTCTTTCTTATTATACCTCTTAGGCTATTTAAAATGTATTTTTAACCCCCGACGCAAAAAGAAGGGTATTATAAGTTTGACGTCGATGTCTGTCTGTGTATGTGTGTGTGTGTCTGTCTGTGGCATCGTAGCTCTCAAACGGATGGACCGATTTCGATGCGGTTTCTTTCATTTGAAAGCCAGTTTCCTTGTGGTGGTTCTTAGCTATTTTTGGTTAATATCGGTCCAGCAGTATAAGAGTATCAGCTCTTTTCCAAAATGATGTAAGGCATTTTGACGTATGTGTAATGTAATAGTTAAATGAAAAATAAATTGCGTAGGGGTTTTTTAAATTATTAATTTGTAATTAATATAAAATCCTTGCATGAGCAACATAAGTAATGATTTTTTATCTATTGCAATTTAATAGGTAAAACAATAACTACTACATTAAATTTATTATAATTAAAAACTTTGCTGGTTAATAAAACCAAACATGTACATTTTATCCTTAAATAATTCATAAGAAGCACCTGCCTTAACAAGTTTCAAGGCTATGCAAGGGAAATAGATATATTATATTATTCTGTTTTACGTCGGCCTGCGGATATCATCAAGTATCTACTATATTAGTTGATAGGTAGCGAATCAAGTAGACTGCTTGTGGAATAGAAATTATGTGAAATGAGCTTAACGTCAATTCTATCACGTTTCGGCGCATCCGCAAGTTAGTTTCTTAATAAGTAAGTAGCTAACTTTGACATACAAAATTCAGACTTCTCCAAGAAATGTGAACTCGTAGCAACCTCACTTAGCATGTCAGGCGAAAACAACAAAGTAATAAAATCATACCCGCATTTAAAACGTACCAAACGCGTAAAAAGAACAAAGTTCCGATTGTTACTATTTTCAAGACGAGAACGCGTGGTGCCCTATCGAATTCATTGAGTTAATAGGTACCTACCTATAATATTTTCGTATCATCGTATAAAACATATGGTAAATACTAGCGACTCACCCTGGCTTCGCTCGGGTTCGTCCCTAGCTTGCTTCCCAATACAAACTTTCATCAACATTTTCACCCCCTTAAGGGATGATTTCCGGGATAAAAAGTATCCTATGCCCTTCCCAGGGTCTCAAACTATCTTCTTACCAAATTTCATCTAAATCAGTTCAGTAGATCCAGAGATTGCCCCCTACAACATCACAAACTCACAAACTTTATAATATTTAGTATATAATAACCTATACCCTTCGATTTTGGGTTATAAGTGATTAAACCTTGTATATGTAATATATTCCGAAGAATCGTCAAGGGCTCGTAGGGTATTCAGGGTTGAGTATTTTTTCGCGTCCATACTCCGTTATATTCACGGATAACCATGAAGAAAATAATATTAATAATTACAGATACATTCGTCTTCATCAAACACTGAAAATTATTTATTTGTTATATACCTACCTCTTTATTTTGTGCGATTGGTGCGACCTCTTAGATGAGTTTTATTGAAAACAAACACAACACTTAAATGAATAAAATAATAATTATAATAAATTTAAAGTGTCTTATTGCTATTTTAACATCATTAATAATATACATTAATTGTAAGTTCAATAAAAATATCAAATTTTACTTTAAAAAGTTACTAGAACTTATAGTAATGTCACTTGGTACGAGCTAGTATTGAAGTTTACGTATAGATGGCGCTACTTACAAATTCGTGAATTATATACGATTAAATTACAAAACGTAATACATTTATATTAGAAAAAAAACAAATCTTGAATTACGTAAATAACATTTATTTTAGAAAATTATAATATATTATTTATTACTCTTTTTTTTTGTTTATGGTTCAGATGTTTTTTTTTTTATATGAGAACATTATTGATTATGACAACCTTCAAATTGACGTTTCGTCTTTAGGCGATCGCACATCGCAAAAAATATTTTAAAGCAATTTTATTGCGTAAATTCAACTCGTTAGAATGACATCGGTTGCACGGGCTGGGCACTTGGCCCCTTATTTTAAGGCCACATGTAATGTTGTGTCGAATGGCTTGAAGCCTGTTGTGGCTGTACCCACACCTGCAGACAAACTAGTTGTTCAGCCTCTGCCCAAGACGTCTACTGTGCAATCGATGAATGGTGCCCTACCCATCCAAAACCTGAAGGTGAAGCATGTATCTAATTGTAAGTATTAAAAATCTTATGAGATTTTCAAGGCGTAATTGGGGTTACATAACACTTGTCAATTTCAGTGCCAACTCAAGTTCGTTTCGCGCATTCGGACATCGCGTACCCTGACTTTTCAGCGTACCGTCGCAAGGAAACTCTAGATCCCAAGTCCAAAGCTGATGAAAATGTTGATGGACGCCAGTCGTTCACGTACCTTATTGCTGGAGGTATGTATTTTTCTAAAGAACCAATAAACTTTGTATCAGAAAGAAAATTTAATTTTGATAAGTATTATCTGCTGCAAAACTGTTGTATAACATTTTTCAAACGTAGGTAACGTAATAAGCCATATCATAAAATGTTCTTGGCTTTAATTCATAATTACATAGGTACATCAATAGTATCTTATAAAAGATACTGTAAAATTTTACGAAGTATTCACATAATATGTCATTCATAGTTTTGGTCATATTGGGATTGTTGTATATTCCATACATTTTAAAACCCCCATTTAAGTATTATTTGCCATCATAGGAATACAGGAATACATCATAAAAATACCAGCTCTCTGGATCTAGTGTTTTAGTCTGGTTATTTATAATTCAGAACAAGCAAATTTATATATAGATAAACAAATATAGTTTATTTGCAAATTGCTATCTCATTTTTTTTTCAGAATGAAAAACATCTATCATTCTTTTAAAATTCAAGTACATTTTATCAAAATAGGATCTGCATCACTCTCTTTCTCACACTTATAAAATTCTAAGATAATTCTGTTTGTTTGTCCTGACTGTTTATCCATTCAAAGTTTAAAAGTGTTCTTTAGGACATTAGTATGTGCTTGTTTTACATACTCGAGAAAATAATTGTAGGTTCAAACACTAATAAATGTAAAAATATATTTAATTACTTAATAAGTAACATATATTGTGTAATGGTATTGAGACCTGGGTGTCAAAGTCCGGCCTGTACTTGACTGACTTTTATTAATTGAGCACAGAAAAATTGTTTTTGGATAGTATTTAAAAATATCATCAGATTTATATTAATAGTAGTATTTTAATGAATAATTTTGTGATAGAAAGGTATTAAGCATATTTATGTATATCGTAGTGAAGTAGTAAAACAACCCTTTTTCCAATTATGTGAAATGACTTTAATAGCCTTTTTTTATTGTATTTTTGGAATTTATTTATTCAAGTAAGTAATATAATAAAAATAAATAAAAGTTAGCCATTAAAATAAAAAAATTGTTAATATTAGAATTCATAAAATAATAAAAATATAATGGAGTAAAATAAAAAAAATATAGTTCCTGTAATAAAATCAATTTATTTTTCTTATTTTAATTATGGCAATAATTAATGACAGCGTCATGCCCTCAGTCTATTTTACTGCCAATAGATGTTTCATATCAAAATCCGTGACACTTAACATATACATAATATAGTTTATCATTTTATGTTTAATAAATAACTATATTTTTTTCAGCTGGCAGTGTTGCCGGAGCCTATGCGGCTAAATCCGTTGTTACACACTTCATATCCTCCATGAGCGCTGCCGCTGATGTCTTGGCTTTGGCTAAGATTGAAATCAAGCTGAATGAAATTCCTGAAGGAAAATCTGTCACCTTCAAATGGCGTGGAAAGCCCCTTTTCATTCGTCACAGGTAAATTATAATAAAACATAACTTTTGACTTTATGCAATATTTTTTTTTTACTAAATTAAAGTATAAAAAAAACTAAAAATCAAAAAAAACAAAGGTAATTTAAGTGTTATTTTAAAATTATCTTGGGTAACTATTTACATAATAGTGATTCCACATGTACACATGTTTTAAGGAAAAATGTTATTATGTTAATAGTTACTGAACATAACTATTATAAACAATAGGTACTATGATTCATTTATAAACTATAATAAATAAATACATCTATTTGGCTCTTTTTTAACGTCCTACTGTTGGGCACGGGCCTCCTTTCAATACGAGGGAGATCAGGCCATAGTCCACCACCCTGGCCAAGTGCGGGTTGGCGGACTTCATGTCTTTTGAAAATTGCTAGATTCTCTCAGACATGCAGGTTTCCTCACGATGTTTTCTTTCACCGTTAAGACAAGTGGTTATCATGTTGGAAATGATTCACACATGAAAAGATCAGAGGTTCGAAACCCGGGATTTGAACCCGCTTCACTCGGTTTCACAAGCGAGCGCCTTACTACTCGGCTACCACTGCCATAAATGAATACATAGTAAATGTATATATTTTATTTATATAACATTACTTGGCAAAATATATGCATATATCTTAATTTCGTTTTTACATTGAATATAGTCTATTATGCAACTTAATATTAATTTAATTAGAACAAATTTAAAAGAAAAAATATTTACATGTAATATTTTGAAGTTTTTGGTATTTGGTGGTTATAAAATATTATTTCATAAAATATATAGACCTTCAATACAAAAATTAGGCAAATTTGTTGACGGACCTCATTTAAGATGACAATTTGTTTTATATATTATCTATATAATATGTACATATACTTATAATATACGTTTGACTCTATTGCACTATTAATAGTTTTAATTATACTCGTAGTAACTTCTATATAATTAACAAGCATGTATCAGGATGTAGAGTAAAACAAAAATTTCATTTGCTCATCGAAAGAGTAGTTTTGCAAATATCTGCCTTTGTTTTATTTAAATAACATGAAAAGACACTTTGTTTATATTAAATGAAATAAAAAAATTAACACAATATTAAATACCTAACCAACATAAATACATAATAGAGATTTATCACTGAAGGGGTAATAGATATCACGTTTATAATATAACAATAGTTTTTAGGGCTCCATACTCGAAGGGTGCTAACAGAACCGTATTACTAAGCATCCGCTATCTGTCCATCTGTCTGTCAAGAGTAATAGGCAGAGAGTTGAAATTTTCACAGAGTATGAATTCTATTGCCATATCAAAAGATGACCTATTTGTTTTATTCTCTAAAATTTAAGTCTCTGAATCTCTATAGATTAGGTTATGCCAGATGTATTGTATCACAAAAATATGGATTCATCTAAATAGCTGTTGCTTTCTTAAATATTTTCATCATTTCATTACAAACTAATTTCGTTTCTTCTGTATATAACAAACAATAAATTATAATAATTGCACATTAATAACATAACATTTTAGGACAGCAGCAGAAATCGCAACCGAGAAAGCTGTGCCAGTAGACACACTCCGTGACCCTCAACATGATGACCAGCGTACACAGGACCCGAAATGGCTGGTTGTTATCGGAGTATGTACCCACTTAGGATGTGTACCAGTAGCAAATTCAGGAGACTTCGGAGGCTACTATTGTCCATGCCATGGATCCCATTACGATGCATCAGGAAGAATCCGCAAAGGTCCAGCTCCTTTGAACTTGGAAGTTCCTCCTCACAGCTTCCTAGACGAAGGCATTCTTGTTGTAGGCTAAATGCTATATATTAGAAAATTTATTTATCTAAGGATACTGTTTCGATAGAAATCAATAAATGTGATTGTAATTTATTGTTGTTTCCTTTACTTGTTGATATATCAACCTGAATATGAAAAATTGTTGATATGAAACCTGAGTTTCATGGCTTTTATAATTGAAAGTGTTTAACATGTTATGCTGCAAATAACCAATTTAAATAAGTATAGGAAATAAATAGCTGTGAACAAATTTGTAATTGTTTTATTTTTTTTCCTTGCAAGCACACATTCTCACAATTTAATTTATTTAAACCACCACATTGCCAAATGATGTAAAAGGTATAGCGTAATAAAAACTATAACAAGAAAAAGACAGCTAGTGTTTGTCACTTACGCGTAAGTTTCGTTAATCGTCTTTATTTGTTGACCAAAGATTATAAAAAAAATCTATACATACAATAAAATTCTAACTGAGACGAATCAGTACATTAAATATTTTTGGAAAAGTCTTATTGAAATAGTCATTATTATCAATACAGATGCCGAATCTATAGTTTGTTGAATTTTTGTCTGTCTGTCTGGCTACCTGTGACCGCATCACGGAAAACTACTGGAGGGATATTGACGAAATTTGGTAATATGATAGCTGGTTATCCGGGTCAACATATAAGATACTTTTTACTGCGGGAAAATATCGCATCTCAGAAATCTATACTAAGCGTTAAAACGTAAGTAGGGATGAAACCGAGCGGAGAGAGGGTGAGTTGCTAGTAAAAAATAATAATTTCGGCTTACCTAACGTATGTGATCCCGTGAGCTTTGTTTATTTTTCTTTGATAATAAGTGGATTTACGGAATACACTCGAAAGCGACTGAGACCAACGGAGGATCATATAGCCTCCAATTATGCGCTTCTCTTTTAGAGCGCTATTAACGTATCCACTTTTTATATTATATCATTGTTCTTTGATAACTTCTGCCCAAAAATATTGTAGGAATATGTGTAATTAAATTTTAGATATTAGTTTCCTGTTTTTTTTTTCAAGTAGGCAATGATTAAAAAAAATCGAAAGCTTGAAAATTGGTAATCACAACTTCTACAGTAGTTATAACTTATAAGCTCTTTACCAAATACCTTAAGGTTAAGTAGCAATCAATAAATATCAGAAAACATTTACGTTTACTTTGGAATCTATTTCTTTGTCTCTCTAATTAATTTTAAACAATCATCAGTAACAAGTCGTTACATGTAGTGCCACCTGTTGACATTTGTTTGAATAAATTTTTCTTTGCTTTTGAGAACCCATGATTAAACTAAAAATCCACAGATCTCGTGGCTGCCACGACCTTAGTGGAAATGAATCTGCCAAATGAACTGCATTAAATTTTTAACATAATTTATTACTAGCAGAACAACAGATTTTGCTCGTGTTCAGACTACAAAAAAGTATTTGGATGCATAAAGATATTATCTATAGTACATATTATAATAAAACTGTAGAGGTCAAATGTCTTTACATAGAAAAAATATGCTAAAAAACGAGTCAGGGGGATGTAAAAAAAGAAATAGAACAAATCCAGATCTTTTTCCAAATTTTTTTTTGTTTCTCTGTCTGTTTTTCTGTTTGTACGGGCTAATCTTCGAAACTGTTGGACCGATTTTAAATAAATTTTGCATGGTGGTACATTATATCCCCGGTCAACATTTTAGATACTTTTCATCCCGGAAAATTAAAGAGTTCCCGTAGAATAGTTAAAAATCTGTAGTAACTTATACAGCTTAGTACACAAAAACTACTAATTTGATTTTAATGAAACTGTATTAGTTCATACATCAGTTTTTATCCCGGAAAAATGTACGGTTTCCGTGGGATAGATTTGTTTTTGTTTGTCTAGAAACCCCAGCGAAGCGAGGGTGAGCCGCTAGTAACAAATATATAATTTGATGGATGAAAGAGACATTAAAAAAAACACAGAGGACTGGCGAAGAAGAAATTCGAAGAAGACACGCCTGTTAAACGAACTAGCAATAAAAGCTTACTGACAGGTAAACTAACTGACAGTTAAAGTAACTAGCAGTTACTTAAACTGACAGATAATCTTGTATAGTATTAAATGATCTGTGGTTGTGTTAATTTGTATAGTTAATTTATTTTTAAAATTAAGCAGTATTTATTATTATTATTATTAGTATTTATTAGACATAGTTTTGTTTACATTCATTCCCAAGGAGGTTTGATGTCAGGCAGGCGGCCGATCGTAAAACTTTTCCAAGTCCTGTCAGCAATACGGAGGATGTACTACGCCGACCCCAAGTGATTGGGAAATGGGCAGGGAGATGAGACCGTTAGTAGTACATTGGAGCGTTATGGAATACTATCGAAAAGTTATTTCAGGAGACATGTTCAATAGAAAGGAAATAAACACACAAGACCGATTTGTATTGTTTTTAATATCGTTACCGTTTTCATTTTTCTTTACTTTTTGTATGCTTTAGACGGTTACAATCTACGTAACATCTAATATAGACTACGAAAAATTTACATACATTTACAAAGTTTATAACTGGGAATTCATAATTTTATTTTCATATAACATTTGCTTAATAAATTAAAAAAAGAACAATTTTATAATGAAATACATGCATTAAACAGATATACAGCATTAGGCCAAAATTAAAAAAAAATATAATTACGAAATAATCTGTTAAAATAATCCATATAAGTCAGATCAAGAAGATTTCTATACATAATTTTGTGTCTGAACTGCCAACTTTACTTCTTAACCCGACTTATTTAATCGACACAGAACAAGAATCATAATAAAAAAATTTAGAAGAAATCCCAGTTCTTAAAAAGCTTAAGATAAAAATTACACTTTTTATGAACATCGAAATCTAACACTAAATATTAAGTAACCAACGAAATGACATAGTGTTGCTATATTTACAAATGATGGAAATGGTTACATATTTGGCAAAATAATTTAAATATATCTAAATTAATCTAAGGCATGAATGAAATGAGAGAAACCAAGTAACGTTACATAACAATATTTAAAAAAAATTGAATACTGGCCACAAATAATATGACCATAGAGTTACCAAGACGTAAGTCGCACCACTAAGTTTATTATCTGTAGATAAGTAAGGAAGAAAATAATATTTGGAAATTTTTGCATATAATAGATAATGATTTAATTAAATATTTGCATGCTTAAAATATAAAATGATAAAAAATAAAATTTAGAAATGTCAGAAAGAAATTGTCATTAAATAAAACCAACAGACAACAACATTAACACTGAGTTTATATTAAATTCCAAATAAAAATATCACTCAATATTATTTACTAATTGTTATTTCTGGGAATAATTGTTATTTTTAAACTTATAACAACAAAAGTAACAGAATCCCCATAATTCGAAATTTAAAATATTAACCGAAATGTGGCCAGTATGCAATTTGTTCAACCTTTAAAGCTTACAGAAAATAAATAGTAACTTAAAGAACCTCTTTGCTCACACTTCATTCGAACAATGTAATGAATTTGTACGTGTGGCCTATTATACATTTCGTAGCGGGTGATGATTTAATGATCTGTTATGGCACAGGGAAGTATGCGTATTCATGTCAAACAAAACAGCTGATAAATGGTTTGCTTATGTCATAAAAGAGAAAATGGGATGCTCCAGTTTGAATTAACACGTAATAATGTCTCAACATTTATAATATATTAAATCTTCACACTAACACTCTAGCACATTTATTTGAACACAGATTATCGATTCACATTCAAATTGTAGATAATAAATTTTATAATACGGGAAAATATATATCTATTACATATAATATGACAAAATATTTGAGTAAATCTGGAAATATTTAATAATTTAATTATTATTATTAGTATATAATTCAATATATTTAGTGTGAATATCTCTGATTGTAGTAAATAGGTTTTATCATGAAATTTGTGCGATAAAATAAATGAAACATGTTATCTGTCAAAGTCATAGAGTATTGTCAAAAGTCATTCGTCGAACTCGAGTGTCGGATCACAGTCCACCTACAAACACAACATAATTCTACACAACCTCGGAAGCTCTTTATTCTCGTGACTACTAAAAATATTTTTTTTACTAATATGTTCGTAGTTACTGCCTATAAATTCTATTTAATTGAGTCTCAATTTCACAGTGAGTGATGGTGTTTTTTTTTTAATTTGACCGTTGATTAAACGTTAAATGCGAAGTAATCAAAAGAAAAGATTGTGCCATATAAATTGTACGGAAACAGACCCGAGTCGTGTCGGTAAGTCGCTATTCGTCACTAATTCGGTTGAGATAGGGCTGCTTGCCATGTTTAAAAAAAGTATGTAAAATAAATTTTTAAATAGAATTAAGACTCAGACTAAAAAATTACATAGACCGAACCCGCCAAAAAAAAAACTGTCAAAGTCAAAAATAGTAGCGTATTTTGCAGTTTATGGTACTATTCTCGATTTTGCCATTCATATCGTTTACTTTCTATAAAGAATAAGAAAAGATTTATATAGATATTATTTGTTAATTTACAATATATATTATTTACTTATCACAGCAACGAATATTCTATTTATATTTGTATTCTGTTTTAAAAATATATATATTAATTTAAAACATTATTGTTTGGCTTCATGTTTAATTCTATGAGACCTTGTCTATATTATTCTTTAGTCTGAGTAGATTCTAATAACGCACAAATCTGCCCTCATTATTAAAAATTAATATATTTATGTTATATATAAATTAGTAATAGTAATGTAGTATTTATAAATATCTGAGTCAATTAACAAGAAAATTGAATTGAAATTCTAAGTCATAATTGTTAAAATATTGAAATCTAAATTACATTTACTTATTAAGTGTTGATTGATGAAAATTTAAATGTATCTTTCTAACAAAAACGTCAAAATAATTATAATGTTAGACAAAAAAACCCCAACAACAGTAAAACAAGCAGCCCGCACTCAACACACTCAACCAGTCACTGTACAAGCTAAGATTGAACGTAGTACTCGTATCGCATCGCTCTATAATACATTGCATAGACGCAGTAATCAGTATCACTACCAAAGCAGAACTCTAATAGTAACACTGTTAGCACAGTAAAAATACGAGTAAAATATGCGTGTGTTCTCAACGCATCTAACACTCAACCTATACGCAGCCACAGCTCACTCAGCGCACTCAGCGCACTCAGCGCACTCAGCGCACACAGCGCTCTCAGCCTAACAGTCGGCAGTGTAGACGGGGGCGAGGTCCAGCGTGAGGTGGCGCAGGGCGCGGTCACGTGACGCGGAGCGCGAGGCGCGGCTGGACTTGATGATCTGCAGCACCATGGCCTTGCAGTCGTGGCACACCGCCATCTGCACGCCGCGCAGGCGCTCCGCCACCGCCGCGCCCGCGCACGTCATGTTGCGCCCGTAACGCGCTCTGGAATACGATGGTATGCTCTTACTAGGGTAGGTACGTAGGTACTTGTTATTGTTTTTTTTTAACTTTATATTATTTGCTTTTTACTTTTTAAATGATGATTTTATTCAAAATTATTCCGAACATATTTACCGCATATCTAATTGGAAGGGAAAACATCGTGAGGAAACGTGCGTTTCTGAGAGAACCTAGCAAGTTTTCGAAAGATACGAATATTCAGGGCATCTCTAATTATTTCTATTAAAATTTAAACCGTTAAGAACAACATTATTATTTTGTCCCATCCAATAAAATTTATTACCTGCGCTCGAGTGTGGAGAGTGCGGAGAGCGGCGTGTTGACGCAGGGCATGCTGCCGGGCCCGTCTGCGCGCGCGATGGCCGGCTCGAAGCCCAGCGCGGAGGCGCCGCGCGAGCCCGGCGCCGACGCCGCCGCGCGCCGCGCCGCCGGGCTGCTGGGCGCAGACCCCACCGTGTTGTCCACTGTTACCTGCACACACAACACCTACTTTTGTTATAAAAATGTGAGCGTGTATGGGTGTGTGTTTGCTATTTATATTATTATGCAATTAGAGGTAATAAACTAAGTACGTTTTAACGATTAGTACGGAGTATATAGACTGTATATTATACATATAATATATAGTTTTCCTCAATAAATGGGCTATCTAATGCAAAAACAATTTTCCCAATCGGATTAGTAGCTCCTGACATTAGTGCGTTCAAACAAACAAACAAACAAACACACAAACAACATCGGACACAGGAATTTTATATATTAATACCTAACCAAACTATGCAAGGCGGAGCCGCGCAAAAACACTAATAATCAATGAAAAACGTCACAAAAAAAACACATCAACCCTACAAACGTCATGACACGACATGATATTTTGCAGTCATGTCATGTCATAACATGACGTGACACTCACGTTGTGTTCAGGCGACACGAGACGCGCCATGAGCGAGCGCGGGAAGGACTGCTGCTCGTCGTCGGGCGACGGCAGCAGCGAGGGGCTGAGCAGCGCCACCGGCACGTGCGCGAAGTGCTCCGTTGGGATACGCATCTGAAATTTTGTTATTTTGTCAATTATTATTTATGTTCAGTTTTTAGTGACCTTCTTGCTTTGCCAGCGGTCGCGGGTTCGAGTCCCGCGCATTCATTTATGTGATGAACACGAATATTTGCACACCAGTCAAGGGTGTTTATATTTATAATATGTATGTATTTGAAGTTATATATGTGTAGTGTATCAACTATCTGGCATTCATAACACAAGCCTCGTACCTTACCATGGATCTAGATGGTGCTGTGTGGTAATGTCCCAACATACATGTTTATTTATATATATTATTGAAAAACAAGATAAATGTCTTCAATAAAAAGGTACTACTAGATACACAATCCCATGCATAAGTTGTCTTAAAACTGTCACCAATTGTATTGGTAATTATTCAAGTTGAAATAAATATACAAAAATGTAAATTAAACCTTAAATGTAATTGCTTAAAGTTGTTTACACCGAAAACAATTAAATTAAAAGCACGCTCAAATGTTCAAATGAGCGCTCATTAGGTGAGGACATTTTTTGTCGCTGATTGTGTATCTAGTACTATTTCCATTACAAATGTTTATAAATTATATAATAAATAGTGAAAACAGTATGAAAATCCGTACTGTAGTTTTGATATTAGCTCGAAAGTAATGAAATGCTGTTCGTTGGTAAACGCATCATTAGAGAACAGCTGGACTGACTAATTATTCTATAAAATATGCATAATAGCCCAAAGAAAGTTTTTTGAGTTAAATATGAAAATTCGCGAAGAGCCTTAAAGTGGTATCATAAAATTGAAATTGTTGCAGGAGGCCGCATCACTTAGTTTTACAAGCGAGCACACTACCACTAAGTACTTGTTATTATTATGAAACATTATTTATTTTATATTTCACTAGCGACTCACCCTCGCTCTGTTCGAGTTTGCCCCTACTTATATTTTAAAATATATATAGATTTCTCAGATATGAGATATTTTCCCGTAGTAAAAAGTATCCTATATGTTGACCCGGAACCAGCTATCATCATACATTAAAAACCGTGCAGTGGTTTTTCCGTGATACGGTCATAGACAGACAGAAAGCCAAAATTCTTAAAACTATAGATTCAGCCTCTGTATCGATAATAATGTCCATTTCAATAAGATTTCCCAAAAAAATATTTAATATACAGATTCGGCTTAGTTACAATTTTATTATATATATAGATAGATAGATGAGCATGACTTCATCTAGATTAAATTTATTATATTTATATGATAAACATCAATCCTTACCTTCGAACAACACTTCTGACAGACAGTCTTTTTGCACAATTTACACTTCTGCCCCCAAGGGCCGAAAATGCCAAATCGTGTTTTCAAACATAGGAAGCATACCTGAAATCAAACGAAACACGCATTCATCTTTATTTAGTTAATTATATAAAAAAATCTTCTCTCAATATCAATCTTTTGAAAACATTTGATTATTTAAATATTTTTAAATTGCACCTTCTATATTACTACAAGAACTTTGGAGAATATTTCAATACAAGTAACGTAAATTATTACGTCATTAGTTTATTTTATATGATTGTCTATATGACGATCTTTACCTCCAAATATTGAAACTAGAGAACTGTAATTGCTGATATTTTTTATTTATTATTTAAAAATGGCGGAATCTTGGTAATGTCACAAAGCTTCTAACCACTTTAAATAAACACTCTTACAAACTCACCCTTCTTTTCTCTACATCTTCTTTAACCCTGCCCTCCACGGGCAGGACTTCTAGTTCCGCTTTCGTCAACACTGACCGGATGTGGACGATTTCTTCCAGTGTCAGAGAGAGCCGGTCGTCCGACATTATCGCGTCTTGCCATTGTTTCTGCAATAGCATTTGTATTGGTTTTATTGTATTTGGTTTGTATTCATTCGTTTTTTTTTTTGTAAAATCGTATTTTATTTTTTGAAAAGTTGCGTATTTTTAAACAACATGCCTACAAATATATTTAAAATTAAAAAGCAAAACCTTATCTAAATACAAAATTCCAAGATACACGAAAGAATTTTATGTATAAATAAATACACAAAAATTGCTCATTTAATAAGTTAAGTTATTTTATGAATTGAAATTTACAAATAAGACGACATAATTGGACAACACCTTAAAGGTTTCATTGTGAGTTTAAATTCAGTAAGTTCATATACTTAGGTCAAAGAAATATTAGCAAAAATCTTAGAAGGATTGATCTATTAGTTCAAAAGGCAAGCTGTTAGTTTTGCTATTGTGCAACTACTAATTATACCTAAATACATACATATACATAAGTACAAACTAACTAAAAAGTACTAATTCTATTACTGGTTATGTTACAAAAACTACTGAAACATTTTTAGTATACATGCGTTTAGACCAAGCTTGAAACTTACATTCACAAGTTATTTCGACAAAGGTAAACATGCATTGGACCGAAAAAGATATTTCGAGTCTGGCCCTGTAAAACTTCTTAGGATTACTTCTTAGTAATTCAACAAAAGATTAATTTGATAAAAATAATTAGAAGTCATTCCGAATCTATACAAAGTTAAATCGACAATAAAGTGTTGAAAAAATACTATAAATTCCAAAAAATAACAATTATTAGGTACGTGCTATATAGATCATTATAGGTCTAAAAAGAGAAATTGTTCTAAATTAGTAAAAAAATAAGAAAGATAACATATTAAAACTTTTATCTCATGCAGTTAGTTTTTATGGCCATACTTGTTTTAATTATAGTCCATCTGGTTTTACGTAGACACTAGACCGTACCTATAAGTTACTTTGTAAGTATACAAATATATTTAACAAATACTTGTTATGGCGTTATAATAACATTTAAATAGAATTTCTTGCTTAAAAATATAAGATATTCTTATTCTCCTTGAGAGCTGAATTTTAGTCCTACATCAGATAAACATAATAATCTTTCGAGGAAAATAACTTATCAACGTATAAGGGCAAAATCTCTTTCACTTTCTCGTATCACAGATCTATAATATTCACATCTTTCGGTGAAATCTCCTGAAATTGAAAACTTAAAGTATTTCTACCAATATAATACAAGCGGCAAGCAAGCACTCACATGCTGGTGAGTAGGGCTGCCACTAACCGACTTGATGAGTTCGTCCTGGAGCGAGGACCGGGACCAGGAGAGGTCACCTAGCTGTACGTCTGCGTCACTACTCGCGAGGGATGCTGCACCTGTACATGAGGCTCGAGACCCTGGCCTGGAGAATAATTTTTTTTATAGATTTTAGAATTTAATTATGAATAGATAATTAACATTAATCATTAAGAGAGTATCTGCTATTGCATAACTACTTAGGTGAGGGTAATTTATTAAGAGCCCGACCACAGATCATATAATACTATATTAGTACCCGCCATTACAATGGTATTCATAAGATTATTTTCTTAAAAAAAATTTTTTTCGTTCATTTACAGGTAAAAATTAATTGGTTAAAATTTCTATTATTTATATATGAAAATTTATTACTAATGTTAAGGAAATATGAAACTTAAACCCATGAAATTGTATTATCGTTTAGTCCATTTATAGCTCTAGCAAATAAAGTTGTCAAAAATGATGGAGTTCTTGGAAATTAAACGTCAATCACATGCACCTCGATTTGCACTCAACCCTAATAATATCTTAGCAATTTTCACATCAAAAGAGCTTTCCTCGTAAATTCAAAGCTTCAAAATTTGTGTAATTTTCAATAAATCTATAATAATATTATAGAGAGGTAAAATTTGTTAGTTTGTATGTAGAGAGAGTAATCTCTGTAACTACTCATCCGATTCTGGAAATTCTTTTACTAAAAGGAAGCTATATTAATACCGAGTATAAGCTATAATTCGTGTTTAAGTACTGTATGTATACCTAATAACTTCAAAGTCAGAAGAAACTGGCCTTTGAGTTATTTTATCGGCATGCCCTGACTGCAAAGTTGGTAATAAAGTAATAAAACGTAAGGCAAAAAGACACCCAAGGAAGCACTAGCCAAGCTAGGGTAATGTCGCTACTATCTGTACCTATATAACTGAATGTATTACGAATTCTTTACATATTATTTCATTCTTTCCATACATTATACGCGAATTGGGCAAATAAAAGGTCTAGTACAATCTAAGAATCACCGAAATTTTATACATATTATTTCACTAATAAAGATGGAATTTTTAATCTGTACATAATATATGTAATAAAATTCTAAATGAGTCGAATCTGTACAATATTTTTTGGATAATCTTATTGAAATAATCATTATTATCGATACAGAGACCGAATCTATAGTATTTAAAATATTTGTCTGTTTTGTTTTTTTTTGTAGTCACTCCTTTTCGTAATATTTTTTAAGGCGTTATACTCTGTACAAACTAATAAAGTTTGTGTGCCGTTACACCGAATTTTACTTGGCCTTCCTGACCTACTTCTGATATAGTCCCGTATATAATATAGATTTATCATTGTACTTAAAATATAATTGGCTTACCTCGAATGTGGTAACGATTGAGCGCCGTCGGTGGACGGGCAAGGTGGGTGCGTTACGGTGTGCCGCCGCATCGAGGCTCGCCGCGACGGACATTGTGTTGCGAGGTCGTACGCTATAACAAATGTTATTGATGAATGACGTTATTTAAATTAAAAGCTTTATATTAAAGCAGGAATAGAAAATTAAATGAAACTTATAATAATTTTAAAGTAATATTCTTTTTTAGACTGATTACATTTAATTATATCTAACTATATTCAAAATTAATATTTAAACACTATTTAGATGGCCATTGCTTACAAACTTCTACATATATTTATGATATACAGGAAATGCATTCTAGATAACTTTAAATCTAGCACATATTAAATAGTTTTACATTAAATTCTGATAGCGAAAGGAAAATTAAATATCACGGACTGGTTTAAGCGGTTCGAGTAAAATGTCAGTGTCTCCGACGGGCAAATTATAGTTTTATGAACGTTACAAATAATATATAATTAAAATAAACCTATAAGTTGCATTTTGCTCTACAACCATTAATGCGTGTTTAACTCTTGAGTAAATGGAGAGCGGTGTGCCGAGTTTCGCTCAGCCTAAGTTATAATCTTGGACAAAATTTAAAACGTAGTAAATGACACTTCTTAAAATATTTTACTAACAAGCTAATTAAAACCCTAAGCTTCGCATGAAGAGCTTTTAATCAAATAAAAATCATGAATGACCTTGCTAGTACTTGATATTTCAAGTATTTCTATGAAATTAAAAAGAGCAAGCTTAATGAGAAAAAAGCTCTATGATAAAATCAAAAATGTAATGAGGAAAAGCTCAGTATTTATTGTTTTGTAAGTTGTACCAAGTATATATCTATTAATTGAGTGCTGATCTATCACTTGATTTTTATGATATTTTTACAATATACTTAATTAATGTCTTATTAAAACAGAAAAATTGGCAGAGTTTCAATACATTTCATTTAAAGTTATTTATATAGTATATTATATACCTACCTATGTATTTAAGGACAAAAAATATTGTTTCAAAACTTCCGTTTGATGTTCGACTTTCACTTCACCTTTATAAAAGGTTAAGGCCGTCAGTGACACTCATCTTGATCTTACAGATTAAGGTACTTATATACTATATTAGGTACTTCTTCTAAAAATAAACGTAATGGACTAAATTGTTTTTTCTTTTGATAATCGTATTAAATTTGTTAAGGAATATAATAAAGAGTACCCTTAAAATTTATTTATTTTCTGAGAAGCTTTTTAAAAAGATATTTCAATCTAGACTAGAAGTAAAAATAGGACCACATTCTAATACATGGTATTAATAATTTAATAAATAAATATATGTTGGGACATTAACACACAGCACCATCTATCTAGTTCCATGATAAGCTACGAGGCTTGTGTTATGGATACCAGATAGTTGATACACTACTCATATATAAAGACCGATGACTGGAGTACAAAGATTCGTGTTTATCACACAAATAAATGTACCCAGCGGGACTCGAACCCGCGATCGCACAGCAAATAGGGTCACTACAAACTGAGCCAAACGTGTCATTCATATACACAACCGTACAGAATAACCATAAAAATTATGTATAAATATAACCAAACAAAGCGGTCTAAACAAAACCTGTCTGCTACGTTGCAGTCAGGTCACGAGCACCGTTAGCAAGAGCCCAAAGAATTGTAGGTTAGGCGCCGCGGCTCGAAGCTCTAAGTGGTACGCTCAAATGGCCTTGTAAAATTAAATGCGCTATAAACAACATTAAGTTGGGTGTTACGAGTTCTTGTAATTATTTAACAGCTGGCAATAAATACTTACAACTTTGATGCATTTCATAGTATAAAAATATATTATTTTTATGAATCAAAGCTTAATTTATTTTAATTTACCATGTCAAATTAGAAAATATTTAAAATTAAATTATGTTTGCGAATGTTTTCGCGGATTTATTTTGTATTTGGATATATTTAGAAATATCTGATTAGGTATCTATTGTAAATGAAAACCTCCGTTTAGTTATTTTTACATTTTAGTGCCTGGAAATCGGTTTTTTTTAAGTTTTTATTTCTAATTACTACTCGACTTGTCGTGCTGATGCGTTGCGACTTGAGAGGGGATTGGTTAGTTTGATATAGCTAAGGTATGAAGTGTTTAAAAGAGAGATGTTCATATCATCTTCACTGTAACAAAAGAAGAGCGAAATTGTATTGTAAAATTATAGTAATGGCTACCTACTGCTCCTTTGAATATTAATATGATAATATTATTATAAAATAAAGATTTAATTTCATTTTTTTTCTTATAGAATAAAAAATGTTTACTAAATAATTATATCAACGTACCTAATTAATATAATTTATAGTGGTTAGTAAAATATTTCAAGATACTAAAAATCTTAAGCAAACTGTCTTAATGAAGTTAGTTTAATAAATTACAACGATTAGTTCGCTAGATTCAAATCTAAAAAGCTTCAACAATGATAAGCAAATTCTGTATATAATGAGAAAAATACAGATATCTTAAATATATAATAAAGCCACTAAAAGCAATGCAAAGTTTTATAATATGTCACTAAATTATGAATAACATAAATCTAATGAGTTAAAAAACTCATGTAATTAAGTTTAATGAAATATGAATCGGATATTACCTACAGAATACTGATCAATTAACAATATTCAAATTATGAAAAATATCTATACTAATTTTATAAAGAGGAAAGATTTGTTTGTTTGTACCGAATAGGCTTCGAAACTACTGAATTGATTTAGATAAAATTTGGTAAGAAGATAGTTTGAGACCCTGGGAAGGAAATAGGATATTTTTTATCCCGGAAATCATCCCTTAAGAGGGTAAAAATGGGGATGAAAATTTGTAAGGGAAAACAACCTAGGGACGAACCCGAGCTAAGGAAGGGTGAGTCGCTAGTAAATAATAAGAAAAGAGTGATGTTTCTTATTAATATTACTAATGTGTAACCTACTTTAAATTGCTTAGCACAGATTAACAATATCTTGCATAAAATATAATGCCATATTTTACAAAACATGTGGAATTAATCAAAAACAGACACACATTTTTCTTTAAAAAAAAACACCACAGAATCGGCATGAAACTATTAATTAATTAAATCACAATTCAACGACAGCTATATCAAAATATTTATATTAACTTCTAATCGTTATAAATAAAACTGTTTTTTCGGATTTTTTCGCAAATTTATTTTGATTTTTGGTTCCTAACGTTTTGAATCCTTTACTGCAATCACGATCACGGGAGAGACAAGTCAAGAACGTCGGGAACCAAAAATCAAAACAAATCCGTGAAAAATCCGAAAATATAGTTTTATTTAAAATGTTAAATATTCGCGTAAATCTAAGAAAGTATTTCTAATCGTTATTTACAATGATTTTATTACAGAAATAATTGAAGCATATGAATGGTACTACACGATACTCGTGAATACTAAGTTTAAGAAGACTTGAGCTTCTGCTATTCTGTTATAGGTATTCTCTCAGACTAAACAATAATATAAACATTTTCTTCTAAAAAATTTATACATATTTAAGACTAATACCTACACAAAAACTTATAAAAAAATCTCTTGTTCCTTAAAGAAACTAAACGAAGTGTATGGCAAAATCAAGAATACTAGCATAAACAACAAATCACGTTACTATTTTTGACTTTGATATTTTTTGGGGAGCTCCCTCTTTATAATATAATTATTCAGTCTGAGAGGTGTTTTATACAAACATCAATATACGTATATAATGAAAGCTTTATTATAGTGGCACTGCAAATGAACATATAGCGTATACAAGCGTGGTATATCATGCATCATACATTCGAGGGTCTCGTCGCAGAACTGGTGGTACTCGTCGTGGGAGATACGCGCGCGTGGCGGCGCTCGCGGCGTCTCCACTGTCCGAGGGAGCGTGGACAAAGTGCTTTATTATAGCCTACTTATGTTTACATGCTATACCTATTTTATAGGGAAAAACATATATTTTGGTAGGGCAATACTCACTGTTATTAGAGAGTAATCTTATGTATATGTCTTGAAAGGCTGAGCTTTTTAAACGTTATATAGGTAGATGGATTTAATATGTTTTTTTTTGAGTAAAATATATTTTCTAAACTCAAATTAAATGTTCAATTCAATAACTTTTCTCTTTCAAATTAATTTTTATAATCATTAAAGTTTAATCGATCGTGTAATTACTATATTATTAATAATAGCTAGCATTTCTTAATCCATTTATGGGAAAATCACAATATAAAAATATAGCATAAGCCATATGTATAGGAAGCCATCCGCTAAACTACCCAGACTCTTCTTCTCCTCAAGCAGTGTTCGCTTCGGCATGTGGATAAATGGGAGTTTGGTACTTATATAATAGGGTCCATAGGGAATTTCAGCCATAGATCAATGCTTACCGGTTCTCTTCCATGGTTTCAGTGGTGTTTGTTGAGGTGCTGTATGTCTAGGGTAAGGTTGTGGGGCACAGGTTTCTGGACTAACGCAAGTCTCGGTCTCGTCTTCGTCTTCATCGTCCTGCATAAACAAAATTGAAAACATTCAGTTAGTTATATGTCAAGCTACTCGTAGTTCATTTGTGTGTAATCTTACTAATATTATAAATGTAAATGTTTAGATGTTAGAGTGAATGTTTGTTACTCAATCACGCCAGAACGGCTGAACGGATCTGAATGATATTTGGCACAGAGATAGATTACAGTCTGGAAAAGCACATAGCTACTTTTTATCCCGGAAAAATGTACGATTCCCGTGGGATAGATTTATTTTTGTTTTTCTAGAGGCGAACCCAATCGAAGCGAGGGTGAGTTGCTAGTGTAGTTATAAGTAAGAGTTAGTTTTTTTTGTTTGATTGTTTGACATTATTTTATTCATGTCAAGTAATCAATTTAGTGCGAATTGATTAAGCGGATATGCCATAATTCAAAACCGACATGCCATATAAATGTTATTTATCAAAATGCTATTTAACTTGTTTTATCAAAAACGGCGCCTCTCACTTCCTTATTGCTAATATCTCTAATAAAATAAAAATCTTACGTATATTATCCAGTGGAGATTAGTATTTGAAAAATTACAGTGAGACACAATGTTATTATTATAATTAAACTCAGAAACTAAAACCGCTATCTATTGAGTGAGTTTTAAAAATAATGTTTGAATATTTCTATAGTTATTATTATAATTATATTTTGTATATGTACTAATAAAAAATATTACTTGTAATTATTTATAACGACAACGATATTTAATACACCATTTTTTAAGAAATGAAAGCTAGAAATCCTAACCAGACCTTGGCTGTTTGCACTTATTGACATAAAGGTATAAAGATTAAAGGGTGAACTTGCATTTCAAGGGAACGTTGAGATTAAATTGAATGTTATTGCGAAAATGATTGAGTAGATCTTTCGTAAATTTAAAATATACCAAATATATATCTAGTACAAAAATTAGGCTTTCATAGTAATATGATCTAATAAGTTTAAATCTTCAAATAAAAGAAATTCAGTTTTATTCCATTGCTACGTATTCTTCAGTCCTTACTAGATCTCCAATTAATTTAAATATTATGACAAAGCTATTTATATAAAAACATTAGACTTATGAAAGTTAGCAAAATGTACTTTAAAAGGTCCATTATGAAATATAAATTTACAACAAAACGTTGTTCTAAAACCATCATGATTCATGACATCATTAATATAACATTTCATCAATTACTTAACATTCATCTAGAATGGAAATGCAATAGCATTTATTTATAAGCCCATTAATTCAATAAAGAGCATTTAACACAAACTGGGTCGAACTGTGTCAGGCGCAGCGTCGATGTTGATAAATATACCTTGGCAGGCGTAGGTACTACACACATACATACCATATTATGGTACACCAAGGGTTGTCATTTGTAATTTAAAAAGGGAAATTTTATTTATACCAAAACCACACACTTTGACGACACGTTCGACTCAGTTTGTAGTGACCCTACTTGCTGTGCCAGCGATCGCGGGTTCAAGTCCCGCTTTGCCCTGTTCAAAAACAGTAATACATATTTATTGGTTTCTATGTGGCTTTTGTCGTTTTTGATGGGATTCTATTGGAATTTTTAAATAGGGTGAACATTCATTTGTGCGATACCTAAACATGAATGTTTGTACTCCAATCATGGGTGTTTATATATTTTATGATATGTATGTGTTTAAAGTTATGTTATGTACAGTGTATCAACTATCTGGTATCCATAACTCGTAGCTTACCATGGAATGGACTTTAATAAAATTAATATTTAACATACCCTTTTTATTTTAACAATGTATGAGGATCTTATCTACTTATATTAGTTGTAAGATTGGATGATACAATTTACAATCTTGCAATTCTACCCAAAGAAAGATATGCGATATTTGCGATGCTGTGTGATCAAATGTTGAAGTTGAATTTATTTTTAACTTTCTCCATGCGTTGAGTCCTTTCATTTAGCACTTCCAAAAGCCATAACAAAAAATAATATTAATATTCTTGGTAGTAAAAGGTATAAGCATTAAACTAAAACCCTATCTGGTCATAGCAGCCCTAGATCCTCATCGCGACATCAATACGCGTGTGCTCAGCGCGCGCAGGTTGTGTTTTTAAAAGATTTTTCGTTCCCTTTCCTTTATGTTGTTCATATGAGCATTAAGGCTTTATGTGGCATATTGTCACGTGAACATGCCACTACGAGTACATATAGATTTTAAATGAGCATGTGAATTGCAATTAAAAGGATTATGGGAAGTTTTTCTATAATATGTAGGTATAGTTCAGTACCTTTTCCTCCTCTGTTTGACAACTGATGTTTTTTTTATTTAGTAGCTATTGGCAAGCTTTAGTTTTATCAATACAAAAAGAAAATCTAAACAGTTTATATATATATATATATATACTAGTGGGCGATACCAATATATTATAAAATAGCAAAAAAAACGCAAAATCTTAATTAAAAGCTAAATAAATAAAGCTTTAGTAACTAGGTGAAGAACGAAAAAAACTTGTCTTGAAAATGAAACCGTCGATCTAATATATATGTACACTGTACGTGTAACTTATTATGCCTCAATTAGAAAATCAGGCCTACGATAATAGATCTACTTATTATATTCACTCAACGATAGTTTATAACGAAAAACTATTAATCAATTAACGCGAACATAAACAGCGATAAATTGGATTTCAAATATTATTTTACTAATAGCCCAAATTTCCTATAACCATTAAATATACTTTACCACGGCCTCGTCTTGGCTATTAACAAGCCACAATCGACTGTGGGTTGCATCGAAGTTTTGAGGTTAAAAAACGTCAAGTTTCCAATGACGTTACGCGTAGAGAATAAGTTACAGGTACTTAAATGTATTGGTAGTGTTTGTATATCGGTTACATTTACATATATGTTAATAGTTGACCCGATACATGCCCTGTCAAAATTTCAATAAAGTTTAGTAATCTCTGAGCTAAACCAAAAATTTTGAAGATATAAAGCAGTTTCAGTTCCAATTTTCAGAACAAATTTTCCATAATTTTCTTTAAAAACTTTATTCCGATCTTATGCACATTAACAAATACACTTGCATTCGTCTAGTGGTCGAAATTTGGTCATAATCGTTTTTAGTTTTAACCTATCTATAAAAAAAAATATATTCAATTTTTTTAATGGATTACACTTAAACTCGTCAATAGCTAATAAACAAAAAAAAAAGAAAATCGGTTGACAAACACATCAAAAAGGTATTAAACTAACCAACGAACAGCATTTTATATAGATGTATAATTAAATCATGTCGACAAGGAAATTAAGACACGATTTAAATAACATATTCTTCGTTGTGTGAGAATTAAGTGTTACTATAATTTAATCATATAAATAACATTTTATAACATTTCTGGTAAAAGTTGTTTGCTTCTTTATATGTAGGTTACAATTTTTGTACTAGACTCGATAAAAAAAAAGAAATTGTCAGAAGAAATCTTTAAAGATATGTTTTATTTTTCTATTTAGGTTAAAACTACAGAATACTTCTGATTTAACCTATATTTTACCGTCCAACTCTCACGATGTACTTTAAAGATTAAAATACTTGCAAGTTTTTGGATGACATATTTATAATATTCTATTTTTATTTCAGTACTAGCATTGCCCGCGGCTCTGCCCGCGTTCAGATGTCCAAAAACCAAATTCTTAGGTTTTACATATTAGTATACCTACTCTTTTTTGTATTTTTTCTCAGAAATGAAATATTTTCCCGCGGTAAAAAGTATCATATATGTTGACCCGGATAACCAGCCATCACCAACCAAATTTCATCAAAATCCCTGCAGAACTTTTCTGTGTTGCGGTAACAGAAAGACAGATAGACAGACACACAGACAGACAAAAATTCTAAAAACTATAGATTCAGCCTCTGTATCGATAATAATATTTATTTCAATAACATTTTCCAAAAAAATATTAAATTCGGCTTAGTTACAATTTTATTATATGTATAGATTTATTTACTACACTATATACTTAGGTTTGACTTATAAACCTTAGGTTATCCTACAATCGAATATATGTAAAATCTAAAACCAATTTAGAGAAATCGTAATTGTATCAAAATAAGGTCACAAGCAAGAACTAAGAAAATGCTAACGAATTAATAACAACGAATTCTAGATCTAAATTATGAATATCGTATTCACATCTACATCTGACAGTTACGTTAGTGGTCTTAGTATTTAGTTAATACTCCACTAGTTGTTGAATCTATACATATAAATAGGCAAAAAAAACAGTTCAGTACCTTTTCTTCTCTGTCAACCGTTTTCTTTTTTTTTGTTTAGTAGAGCTATTGACAAGCTTTTGTTATCAATAAAAAAATTGGTAACAGTTTTTTTTTGAAGTTATATTTCTTTTGGCACGTTTGGAAAAAATTATGAGAGTAAAATTTTTACGATGCGCGCGCACACCGACAGCCAAAGAGCGACATGATGAAGTTGCTGCATTCCTTTTACAAACAGTGTTGTGACATACGGGATGAAATCTTTAGCTATTTTTGTTCTGTTACGCCAAAGAAGTATAACTTCTTACGTGCGTACATAAGTACACACACAATATATATGACCACCTAATAATTATAATGGTACCTGTAATATATCTAATATATAAAATTTCCATGTCACAATGTTAGTTACCGTACTCCTCCGAAACGGCTTTACCGATTTTTACCAAATTTTATATGCGTATTCAGTAGGTCTGAGAATCGGCTACTATCTATTTTTCATACCCCTAAGAGATAAGGATAAGGGTGGTCCTCCCAGACCCAACCCCAGGGACGAACCCGAGCGGAGCGAGGGTGAGTCGCTAGTAAGTACATATAAATTCATATTTTATGTTTTCCTCAAATTTTCAATAATTATGATCGATTTCAACCAATGGGAAAACACTAGTTTATTTAAAAACAATAAAATAGTTTAATTGGAAGAGCGTGTACATAACG